TGGAATGGGATGTCCAAAAGCTCATATAAGGATGATGGCCCTCAGTTTCATGCACATGTCTGATGACCAGCTCATGCATCTGTCACAAATGAAGAACAAATCCTACTCACGCCTCTAGTTGAGTATTTCCAAACCCCTATCCTGAGGGTATTCCGGCATTGCTTAGTTCAGGGTTTTCCCTGCTCTAACACACTTGACTCAGCATTTGATGATCAGCCACCAAACTAAACAGTGCTGTCCAACAAGTGCTGGTAGTGGGTCTGGAAAAAGCTGATGTAGAGGCACACACTGTTAGCTCCACTTCATGTTCCCACGGAAAGGGGATACATTGGAGATGCATGTGCAGGGTTGATAGTAGCAGCACACTGCCAGGTTCTTCAGCCTGGCCTCTTTCAGTGAATTTCTCGGTAGCAGCATGGTTACATCATCTCTTTCCATTAACTAAGGCAACCCAGGGCTCTATTAGAGTCATGCACTGTTTATCTTTCCCCTTGCTGTGAGCATGTATCTATTATGACAACATGCCATGGCAAAACTGGTAAAGAAAATACTAAAAATCTTATTTCAATTAAGCACATGTTTAAGCTATATCTATAGTTAACTTTTGTTTCTATCAGCACATTATAGTATATTACAGTGCAGAGATGTCTTTAGAGAAAATATAAAGCAAAATAATACCCAAAACTTAGCTTTTTGAATTTATTATTGTTTTATCATTATCATTATAACAGCTCAGAAAACACAACTGGGTTCAGTTGTTATTTTGCTTAGTAAACAAAATGGCTGTTTGCACGGTAGACATTGCAACACTTGGTTCCTATCAGCACCACTTTAAAAGAAATCGAGTTGTTGGAAGATTTCCCTACAGTGAACCATTTTTTTTTAATTGGTAAAATTTTCCTTAAGATTAGTAACCAAATAATAAGCCTAGATTTTACAATGGTTAATTCATTTTTTTCAAATTTCAAGAATAGTTTCATATTGAATATCAGAGCTATCACCTATCACTGCTTATGAGTGCAGTGTAAGTGCCAAATGTAAAGTAACAGGTGTACAGATCATATCATATACTGTACTACAGATCACTCCTCCTTACAACTGCAATGACATCATGGCTCTCTAGTACAGTAGGTGGCTGTACAGTGGCTGGATTAGGAACTTCAGAAGCACTGAGCCAACAGATAATCATGTACTGTAAAAAGTGAAGCACATCAGATGTGCAAATAAATGACACACTAATAAAAAAAAAAATATTACATCAACACATTTCTCTTTCAGTTCACTTACTTTTACCAATGATGTTGATGTAATATATTGTAATAATGTGAAAATTATGTACAGAATTAAATCAAGCAAACTCAATGCAGCATTTCTGTCTGTGTGTTATAGTTGAATTTACAGAGGAGCACTATAGCCTAATCTACATTCATCAACATGGTGAGACACACAGACGTGCAGAACATTATCCATGAATGTGTGGGTACCTATTTAGTAGGCAGAGTGAACAGCTTGCTAAGGTATTTGGTGTGTTTGTCCAGACCCGGTTTGGACCAGTAGAGAGCTGACCTGCTGCTGACATGACATCCACACGTATCTACAGAAAGTAAGAGCAAGCTGCCAAGCCATCTACTTCAGCTGAAACACATGAGAGGCTAGGGTCTATTTCAGGGAATCCAGAGTGATTTGATGGGTGTCTGGTTGCTTTGTGAACTTGCATGACATACAGACACAGCACCAGTGACCAAATTGAGACAACATACGGGGCAACAATGTTGGCATGATTCGATGATTACACTATATTCAAGATTGAAAATCCCTGCATAGAATTCCAACATACTTGAATTAAAATTCATTATTTTATTCCAGTTTTTTTCAGCAGGGCAAGTTTGTTTTAGTAAATAGTAACCATTATATCACTTATGTTGACATACTTTTAGCACATAATCAGAGAAGAGTGGTGGTCAGACGACAGGTTTACCAGCAGAGGGGAAGCCCAGGCTCTTACGGTGAACCCGATCTAAAGGTCAAACGGCACGACTCTGTGCAACTTAATCTACCTCAGTTTTGCAAGTCTGTGTGATTCAGCCTGTACTGGACTAGACAGGGGCGTCCCTCACTTCTCAAGTGTTTTTAGTTCTTATTGGACACTCAGCACTCAGCCTCTGACGTGGAAATTCTGGGAAAGATTCATAGTGGTGCCCAAAATGTGCTGAAATGTGTTGCTCTTATATAGCAGTTAGAAAAGCACCCTTGCACAGAATAATGATAATAACAACAACATGGGTCTGAATCTAATATAAAGTTAATGTAACTTGTCAAAATTGCACAGCCTGTATGTTTATGTCCTACAGTTTTTCAGAATATATGTCAGTGAAATAGTGAGACCACAGGGCGTTGCTTGTTATTACTTGTTAAAGGCTGCAAGTCTATAACACGTAAGTAGGCTACATTTGTCACGTCTTGTGCTTTGGTCTGATAAGAACAAGCCATTTCAAAGCTCCTAGATTAAACCTTTTGTTCATATACTCTATATCATACTTATACATCCAAATGTAATGGACGTTTGTACAGACGTATGGTTCAAACCTGCACCCAGGAAAATTACAACTGTAAGAAATCAAGGCGATGTTAATAGAAATTTAGTTTAACGTAGTTTAATAACAAGTTAAGCATTTGCCAAGCATCTACAGTTGATCGTCTAAATAAAGTGTTACTCTGAATATTCCACCAGGTGCACTCAAAGAAATAAACTGCTGTATGATCATTTAATTAGATCATGCCACACATTTCCAAGTGTGTGATCAGAGTCAGTATACATAGATACAGTTCTTCAACTGTTGATGGAAATTAAAACCAGACCAGTATCTCTGTTGGTTCATTTTTTGTATTTGAATGTATTTACATACTTCTATAACTTGTAGTCCATGTATTTACTGAATAATAAGCCTTAGGATGTAATGGGATATAAAGGGCTAATCTATTATTAATCTTTAACTGCCAAGGAACTAATAGAAAGATAAGCATATATGAAAATGAAGAATCGAGGTCTGGATTGGTTCTGTAGCATTAAATAAGTTAAAGCTGTAGTGCTGATCATGTCGGTATAATCTGAGGTTGTTGTTAAGTTTAATGCTAACTGGCTACCTGCTTTACATCTGCAGCCTGTCTACTTAATTTATTTGCTCAGCATACCTGCTCAATTTACTTAACTGCAGTAAATAATTTCCTGCACCACAATTGCCAACAATTCATATTGGATTGCCGGAGCCGTCAATGGAGCAGGTTGGTGTCGGGTTACGAATCAACACAGGCTACTGCACTGACCGACATGGCCAGAAGAGCAAGTGGCTGGTATTATAATTTAATCTCACTGTTGTGGTGTAAAGAGATAGTAGTTGCAATAAATTATGATGAACCCCTATGACAATGAGCTCTATGATGTATTTAATATTATCACTGGAAAAAAAAATGTAAAAGTTTGAAAATCAGCTCAAAACATAGACTGGAATCATTTAATTTGTCTTACACAAACATTGGATTCATGTGATTCAAATGTGTACAGCATTTGCACATGAATACAATATATTAACACAATTTATGTTTTTCAGTTTATTTATTTTTGGCAGTGATAGTGTTCATGTAACAGATTTGATTAATGCAGAAATTATGTACATATTTGAATTAAGTAAACACAATGCATCACTTTTTTCAGTATAGTGCAAATGAGAAAGTGGCTAAGTGGCTAACGCTAATGCTTCCACTTTTACAGAGGCAGAACAAACCTCACCCCGACAACAAGCCCCACGGCTTCAGCACTGCTATTCCAGGAGACACCTGATCTCCACAGCCGATCAGCTTTCAGTTGCTTATAATAAGTGTGCCTGGAATTTGGGTGTCTGTGGCATGCCGCTAGCCATGCTACGATACCTCTTAAAACTTAAATGGCAGCTAGATGTTCAACATACTTGTCAGCACTATCTGAGATGATGGGGAAAATAGGGTCATACTAACCCAGTTCCATACAGGTGCCTCTTCATGCTAAACTGTTATGCTGAACAGTTCTGCCATTTCTCTAAATAACTACAAAGAACAGAATGTGTGAAGGGATACCTGATTCTGAATCATCAATAATAATTTCCAGCCTGTGCATTCTTCCACCTTAAGTAATAGGAACACCTGCATTCGTACTGAGCTTCCCTTTGCTGCTTTTATAGCTCTTCTGTGAACTGGACTAATGGAAAACTTTGGCCTCTCTTCATGGTAATAAGAGATGTTTTTGTAGTTTCTGTGAACTGCACTGATAAGAGTACAATTAAGGATAATAATGGTAACAAAAACTAATTCAATCTACAAAGAGACTGTGGTTACATACAATAACATTCCAGGTGGCTGTATTTCAGTGTAGGATTTCTACTCTGGCATGTGTCACAGAGAACACTAGTGATTAACCCATTAAATCTATAACATTTACAATGTCTTCCTATGATTGTTTTCAACAATGTAACATATACAAGATATGTACAATTGAATTGAATATAACAAGTTGTATATTAGTGAGGCCTACCAAAAGAAGAAGTTCAAAATATGCTACACTCCTTCAATACTAGAAGCAACTAGTAGCTCAAAGCTAAAACCAAAGCCAATACATGAACATTTACAAAATGTAGAAACTGTGTGTAGATTCACCTGGTTTAGCATTACAGAGAAATATAGCATTCATTTTTGTGCGTAATGGACAGACATTTCAGCCTAGGAAATATTGGTCAAATATAAACATCTGTCCAATGCTGCTATTTTTTTAAGTAGTTATGTTTGTGCTGATATGACTCTGGTATTATTTTGCTTCTTTAATAAAAATAGCTTAAACTATGGGAGGTTTCAACGCAGTCAGAAAACAACGCACTATCGAGACAAAATTGCGAAAGTCAGAGTATGTGTAGACAGGATTAAGTAAGCAAACCACATGTCTGCAAAGAGTGGCATGTTTGCATGGAACTCACCTGCTTAAAGTGTCCATGCCTCTGGCAGGGACAGGGTCAAGAGGGGTCAGGTCCATGCTCTCGGGCTGAGGACTGATTCTCCTGTCCTGACTGTGGAGTTGTGGCGGTGCCCCTGGGCTGGAGCTGCAGTCTGGAGGCTGGGGTATATGTCTGGAGAGAGGAAGCCCAGAGGATGGAGAGGGCTGCGGAACTGACCTGAGCATTTCCTTAACCTTCGTCTTCTTCACCTGAGAGAGAGAGAGAGAGAGAGAGAGAGAAAGAGAGAGAGGCACACATAAACATGCATTAGAAGAAGGCCAAATAAACATGAGCAGTCTGGGCACTGCCACTGCAGGCTATCAGATGACAGGCCCTTTGCTTATATTACTGCAGGCCCCACACTCCAGGATTCCTCAGCAGGAAGGAAGTGCCACAAGGCAGAAGAAGAAAGAGGAAGCAGCTGATAAAAAAGGGCTTAGCTCACGTTTCTCTTACCCTGCTCACGGACACAGGCTGTAACTGGCCAGAGCCAGAGACAGTAGAAAAGGTAAAAAATCTCACACGGATAAGAGCAAAGTCAAACTCAGCTCTCCTCATCGCCTCTCGAAGAGTTTACATGAATGGAGCATGCCCTAAAATTCTAATGCTAGATTTCCAAACTGATGTACTAAGGTTTCTTCAGTACTACAGCTACCAAAAAACTGCACAGCTTTCTTTTGGATTAGTCATTGATAATGAAGAGCAATTGATGCTAGTTTCCTCCCAAACACTGCAGCTGCTCCACTGTCTAACTACCACTCACCAGCCCTAATTTGGGTCATTGATTTGTAGTGCAGCAGCCAATTGCAAAGCATTAGGCTTCCAACCCTCACGCCATTCGACAAAGAGGAGAATTTTTCTGAAATGTGGCATTAAACAAGGAGAAAACTCAAAATTAATAATGCTATCACAAAGTCAGATGAGAGTGGACAAGGCCTGTCAAAATGTGTAGGCTGAAAGTAAGGCCTTTAACAGTACACAGCTATTAAAGGTATTCTATTGATAATGACTGCTCTGGGACTACTTACTTCACTGTAATGGAATAGACAGTGGACATTGATGTGTTAATGTGTTAATGATGCAATCACCATGCAAAAATCATTATTTTACTGAATTGAGCCCAAAATACACCAGCAAATTGACCATTACAATGAATATACAAGCTTGGAAGCCGGTCATTATAAATGCAGGTCAGTTGAATTTAAAGTATACTGTATGGATCTAAAAAGCTCTGTTTAGTTATGCAATATTATACCTACTGTTATAACACACAAGGTCATTCTTTCCACTTTTTACAGACTAATTAAAATGTAGCTAGTCTGTGAGCACATGTAAGATATGTTAACACACATGAATATGTAAATGACAGCTCCACATGGTCCTTCTTCAAAAACAAGGAATGAATAGAACAAAGCCAAATGTCTGTCAGTCTGTCTGAATGAGTGCTAATAAAACCACCCAGACAGCTCTGGCCTTTACCAAATAGCATTTTTCAGCATGTCGTCCTTATCTAGGAATTCACAGTAACAGTTATGACTTCAAATACTAGAAAAACCACAAGCAAACACAGTACAGTCAACACTGACTTATTATTCCCTACTCCATTCCATACTCCCTATTCCCTACCACAGCTGGCCAATAACACTCAGCAAAGAAGCATTTTGGGGAGTTTTGTGTTTAAAACTGTTAAAATATATTGCTATAGATAGCTAATTTCACTATATTGTAATAAGTAACCTAAGTAACCTCTATTTAAAGTGTCAATACTACTTGACAAATTATACTTTCACAAGCAACACACCTCTGATCCCTGAATCTGCAGTAGCCCTATCAGTGGTATTTCCTAATATTCCCCTCATGGCTCACCTGAACTCCGTGAACATCTTTATTCAGAGTGAGAGCACAGCATGGCCCATTCACACATACGCCTCCACTCATGGCGACTTGCTGCTTCTTTTCTCTTTCTATAGCAGTAAGCTGCAAAGCTTTCTCTAACAACTTACTTGGCAACTTTTATAGTTACCACGATAAACTTCCTCCACCCACTGTGATGTTCTGAGTAAACTCATCAGGAAAGGAAACACTATGGGGCTAAAAAAGATGTTGAGAACTTCGACCCATAAACAATAAAAATGCTGTTAAAAACATATTGCTTTTGTTCCGCCTAGGCCTTCCTGTTTTGACTGATTTTCAGTAAATAACATTATCGTTATCACTAATAAAAACACTAAATCATGACATTTATGGCACCACTCCCCTGAATTACATAGCATTTTATACCATTATCAAGGAAATACAAAAAGACAAATGCACATAAATGTCGTCACATGAATCCATTTCTTTTTCTTTCCTTATGAAAACAATAAAGATAAAGCAGGTGAGGTTTGAGAACTGTTTTCTGATAAAAGCAAGCACAGGCTGCTCGGGCAGCCTGAGTGGCTTTATAGATTTGGTCTGTTCTGGTAATTCAGAGAAATAAGAGTTGTACTGAAATCCTCTTACATGCATGAATGGCTGTTCAAGGTTCTTGAGAACAACACAGACGTCACAACACTGTGTCAAGACAAGTTTATGTGTATAGTTTCCAGTTAATTGGTTAAGTTATGTAGTGAATTTTGTTTTAGGGTAATCCAAATAGGCAACTGGGTATTTAGGGGTAGACATTTCTTATTGCCCTGTGCCCCTGACCAAAACATTTCACATTCTGACCACTAAAAAAGCAGAGCTGGTGGGCCAGGTGGCCATTTGCCTTAGACTTGCACTTGTCTTTTTTCCTATTAACAAACCTGTTTGATCAAACACTAAACTAATTAGACAAATCAGATTTTGACATTTTTTTCACAATTTTCACAATCAATTAACTATAACTGCCAAGGGGCCCCCCTGCTGAGCTGGTCCACCTGGAGTAATAAGTGTTTTCCATTGGCTAAAAGTTTGCTAATATTCTATAAAATAAGGTCTTAAATAAATAAATAAATAGTGTGTTAAACAAGCTGCCATTACAAAATCATTGCAGTAGCTAATAAACAGTACCTAATGATATAACCTAGGATGATGTCATAGTGATGTCAGAGTGTTAATATATATTTAGTTTCAAAGCAATACCTGGCTGCTTTTGGTACTAAAGCATACTTGTTAACTGTAAATACAACGTATATATGATAAACATGTTTTTGTTGTTCTGACCGTCTTAATTTTGGCCCTTCGTGGCCTTAGCTTGATTGGCTGGGCTGACAGGGTAAGGTTTACACAATAGTCTTCAACAATGCACACATTGTTATCAATCGACTATTATTTCTTTAATTTTAATTCTATTATTTATTACAAAAGTATCAGTCCATGGTTTACTATTAAAAATGTCACATGATGTCATGATCCACCTGTTCACTACTCAAAAAGCTGCCAACATACAATAAGCTTAAAAAGAGCTGTATTGTTGTACAGAAAAAAACACACAAATTAGTGTATTCTGTGGAAATGAATTCCATCACGGAAAACACTGAGACAAGGAAACACTGAAGTAGCCAGGAAGCAAACAGATAACGTTGACGTTCCAGACAGTGACTCTATTATCCAGTAATAAAGGATACTAACTGTAGTTTGTATTATATTAACACTACATACAATCCTAAAAACAGCCATCACTTTAGACGTACAAGCCTGCATGGCCAAGCCAAATAATGAGTTATAACCCAAATGTATGAATTCTTTATTGAGTGAAGAACCTAAAATAAAGTGTAATCCAAGTAAGCCAGTTCCAGTCTTGCTACGTGTTAAGATGAATGATTTCAATGACCCCTTTAGTGATGGCAAACATCTCCTCAGCTGGAGCTGAGCTTATTTTTCACCACCATCTCCTCTTGTTTTTTTCCATCAGCATTTCTCAATCGGCCTACTATGCTGGCCATCAGGTATCACCGTGCTTTCCTATGGCCCTTATCTGGGCTGGCTCAGCAAGAAGTGCTGAACACCACCAGTCTAAGCAAACAGTTTTTTAAGTTTTGGATTTCAAACCTTATACGAAAACATTGCATAAGCTGGTGTCTGCCAAGACCTCCTTGACCTTGCAACTCCAGGAAGTGGAAAAGTGGTTGAAGAGGTTATAAACTAGCAGATTTTTTTTCTCAGAGCACAGCATCAAAATAAAGTCAGGTGATGATAAAACCACTAGGCTTAAGGGAGGGGGTGTAAATAAACACAGTCAGCTCCCACCTGCTGGTGCAAACTAGAGCCAAGAGACTTTTGCAAGGTTGAAGTGTTTTAAGGTGTGTTCTCACATGCTGGGAAGGAAGGTAGGTAATAAATTAAGAAGAAAGGATCAGAATGGACTGTCTATTAAGCTTGCATCAAGATAAAACAGCATGACTATAATTTAATTCAAACTGCCAAAAAGTCTTGCTCAGCTCTTTCTTAAGCACCACTGAAAATGCAAATGGTGAAGACTGTTACCTTCTTTTTTCTCGGCATAGCTGCAGGGTTTGCGAGGCTCGACTCTTTTTCTCTTGGTGAATCTTTGTCTTCTCCTTCACTGTTCCGTGTGGCCTTAACAGAACAGTAAATGATCAGACCATGATTATTAGGAGACCTCAAAGGCAATAAAACCACTCAACAGACTGGACCTTGGGTTCCCAACAGCTTTGGAGGTGAAAACATTAACTGCTGGAGTACTGTTAGCTGCAACTAGAAATGAAATTAAGACAGTTGTAGGAATTTTAATGGCCATAAAAACACCTACAAATATGAGACAACAACCCCTGAATAGGATGCCTTTCTTGACAGTAGATAAAGTAGAATTTATGTAAAATTCCTAGGAATCAGCAGCAGCACAGTGGCTGCTAGGATAACATGATGTTAAGTCATTCTAGAAGGCCATAGCTCATAAGGGTTCATACAGAGAATCTACACAAACATGAGGCCTAGCCCATCTCCAGCTGCCTAAACATGTGATTCTGAACACGTACACATCTTATACATCAAGAAAATATTTTTTATATCTCTCAGTCAGCCTTTTATATATATATATGTTCAGAGAGAGAGTGAGAGACAGATAGAGAGAGCACATGATCAGTATAATGGCATTACATTTCACTTTCCCCTTATTTTCAAATTTCAAGATCATTACATACACTTGGTTCATTTTTATGATACAGTATACATCCAAAGGTTGATGTGTGCTTGTTCAAAGTTTTTTATCAAGGACATGCATAGCAGGGGGTTTGTTCCCTTTTTGCTGCAGTAACAGCCTCTTCTCTTCTGAGAAGGCTTTAAACTAGATTTGCTTTGGTTGTATTCAGCCACAAGAGCATAAGTGAGGTCAGGTACAGATGTTAGATGATTAGCTCTGGATCACTCCAACTGATCCCTAAGGTAGGTATTCAGTGGTGCACCATCACTTCAGAGAAGGCAGGTTCATTGCTCCACATCCCAATGCTGAGGAGTTTTATACTCCTCTAGCTCCTCTAGTTTGGCATTTGACCTCATGTGCAGATACTCAGATACTCCTATTCTACTGGCAATGCTTTGCTACTGAATTTTTTATAAGCTGTGCATGCTCACCTGAACAACCTGTGTCAGCAATGGGCGCTGAATTTACTGATTAGAAGGTGTGTCTGGACACCTTTTGACATGCAGTGTGCTTATTAAGCTGAACTGTCTTTTTACAATGCAAATTTAAAGTCATATTCCTACCATTCTTGTTTGCATTGTGCCAAGTTTTTCCCAGACAAAATCTAAATCTAGATCTCAGTGAAAGATTATTATTTTTAATTTAAATTTGAATACATTTGTATGTTGTGCAGGAGTAAGCACATGTCCTGCGGTCCAAAATAACATCTTTTCTTTATCCCCCTCAAAAACATCAGTGCCCACGAGTTACCCAGATTTTGACCACAGCTCTGCATTGATTAGCGCTGTCAATGCTTTAATGCACTTTCTTCAACTTATGAAGGACATGACAATTAATATGTAAGAGTGTTGGAGCTTGATAAACACTAAACTTGGCAAAATTGGCAGATCAGAGTAATGCTGAGTAGAAAGTCGCATCATAGGTGTTTGTACACAACTAATGCACTTCATTAAAACTATAAAGAATAAAAGGAAGACTTTATTTGAAGTCTACCTACACAGAGACTTCACAGCACATGCACAAGCAGTGAACATTTCTAAAACAATATTTGAGTATTTATGAACAGCTCGCAAGATGACATAAGATGGTTATGAAGTAAATGACATTGTATTGACAAAAGGGACCTAAAATTGAAGAGACAGACATTTGTTCAATTTATAACACCATTATAAAGCATCACTGCCAAGTAATGAATCCAATAAGGCCTAGTTAAGAACACTATATTATCAGCTCTATGGGAAATCTTCAAACTGTCCTCAAAAAGTGATGTTTATTTTGATTATAGTTCTATTAAGGAGGCCTGTGAGACATGAAAAATGTTAAAGAAGAGTTAGATGTTCATGTACGCAGCCACATAGCTCTACCCAACAGAAATTGTACTTATGTACTCATGAACTGAGAGAACTGTTATATGGTGTTCTAAACTAGGTCTCGGCCTCATACACTCCATTATTTGTTTCAGTGATACAGTGATATAAGAAAAACAAATGTCTGTAACTTTATTTTAATTATATCACAGTGTTATTTACTTCATAAAACTTCTTATCTTCTCACTTTACAACTAATGGCATAAGTTGTTTACAAATACTTAAGTACTGCTTTAGAAATCATTATTCAGTGCTTATGCAAGAGTTACAAAGACCCTATGGCTGCGTTCACATTTCCAAGTTGAAGTGACACAAATCCGATTTTTTGCCTTAATGTGATCTGATGTTTTCAGGGCTGTGTGAACACGCAAATCTGATCTTTTCAAATCCGACCTGAGCCACTTTCATATGTGGTCCTAGATCGGATACATATCCGATTTGTGGCCATGCGACCTTATTGTAAACGCTCAGATCAGAATTCATGCGCTTTTTTTCAACGGCGCATGAGCCTTTATGCCAACGTTACCATGGCATCAGCACCGAACAGAAGTTAAAGCCTGTAAATGGTGGAAAAGCAACACCTCACCTTGTTCGCCTTCGTCTCGCTCTAACAATGAACAGCTGAGAGCTGATCAGAGTTCATTATCTTCACAGCAAAGCTTGTTCTTCGTTAGTTTGTTTGCTGATGATGCATATGACACACGTGATTTATTTGCGTGATGTGATGAGTGTTACTGAGCAGGATGTGCGCATGCGGGTCATTTAAGGATGCCGGTTCATTCACATTAATAACAGATTTGAATCATTTACCTAAACGAGTGTGAACCACCCTGTCAGAGAGATCGGATTTGAGCAAAAAATTGGATTTAAGCAATAAGGCTTGTAATGTGAACGTAGCCTATGTAGGTAGCCTCCAAATAAAGCGTTACCAAATGTGGCTTGACTTTTGCACCAACCAAACCAGGCCATCAGTGTATCTGACAGATGATATGTGAGCTACTCAAGGTTCAAACTCCTTATGCAACACTGAGAACACACTATTGCCATGCAAACAAGCCCACATTGACATTATGCATGATAGCAAGTACACAAACATACAAACAAAAACAAAAACACACACACGTGTACCTTCTTTTTTCTGGGAACAGGAGTGAGTGTTTTTGGAGAAGGAGAGCGTGGTGACGTCTTTTCATATGCTGTGTCCATGTGGGCCTCCTGGAACAGGACAACAAGCAGAAAGAGTTCACATGAGCTCATCTGTCCTCAATGACCACAAACAAAGCATTCAGCACAAGAAAGCTTCACTTTCCAGAGCACCTCAGGGGAAACCTTTTTAATTTCACTAAAACAACACCCGTAAATGTAGCTGTGCCTAGTTTTAGTAAAACTACTATGCTTAAATTGCTTAATCAAGAATAAACCTACAAAAAGAAATACACAGCCAACAGCTTTTTAAATTTTGTCAAACTCTTTAAAAAATACAGCGCATTACAATTAAGTGCAATATAAGTGTACGGTTTAATTGTAAAGTAAATAAGGGAACTGTAATTCTAATATGTTCAAAAACGTCTAAGACTTCTTTAATTCTAATATTTATACATACCAAATATAATTAAAATAATATTTCTGATAGAATTGGGTTTGACATTTCCGCTACTATCCAATTCAGCATTTTCTGCTGTATTGACAAACTGGTTCCATCTCCAGTGATTGCTACAAATTATGTGGTACCTACTATGAAACTAATATAAATGTTATGTAGTTAAGTGGGTAATCGAGGAAAAGTTATCATGTGCAGGTGTACTTATGTGAAGGTGCCGCTGAGTTATCGTGGCATGTCATAGGGCAACACATCAGAAACCCGAGCCATCTCAATCACGTGTAAGGGTAGGGATAGGTACTGGTAGGGGCAAAGGTCATATGTGGTTATTTAGTCTGAGAGGCGTGAGGTAATCTCTGTCTCGCGGATGAAGTGTTTCCATAGTTTAGCATGCTCGTCAGGCAGCCAGTTCCATTAGACAGTTTGAATGCTGAGCAAAGGAATTATTTTAAAGATTATGGTTTTACTGCAATTAATGTCTATAATAATGCTGATGCATTTACAAACTGTCAAGGTCAATACCAGTATCTTTGTTATCCCACGTATATAAAACCTCAGGTACTTAAAAAGGACTATTTTTTTGCACGAGATGCAATATAACTATATAGCCAATCTACTGTAATCTAATATACAGTGCTATGAAAATCTGTCTCTACTCATTTTTTCTGTTTGCATATTTGTCACAATTATTTCAGAAAAAAAATTAAGTATAAGACAAAGACAACCTAAAAAAACATAAAAATACAGTTTTTAAATGATCATTTCATTTACATTATCCTACACCAGTTTTTCCTGTGTGAAAAGGTACTTGCATCCTTAGTTACTCAATCAACAAAGTAACCAAATTTAGTTGACAAACCCAGACGAATATCTCAGGAACCGCAGGCCCCGGTTGCCACCGGTAAGGTCAACACATGACTGTACTATCAGAAAAAGAATGAGCAAAAACGGTATCTATGAGAGAGTTGCATCCACTGCTAACCAGGAGGAACATGGTCACATTTGCCAAAAACCACACTGATGGCTCCCCTGGTCTTATATATAAAGAATAATGTTCTGCGGACTGATGAGTTGTAAAAAAGGGTTTTGGACAACAGGGTCCTGTTACATCTGGCATAAAACTAAGACAGCATTCCACAAAGATTGGAACATGACAAAACAATGATCCGAAGCACAAGACCAAGTCCACCTCAGAATAGCTTAAAAGAAACAAAATGAAGGTTCTGGAGTGGCCTAGTCAAAGTCCTGACTTGAACGCCATCAAGATGCTGCAGCAGGACTTTAAATGGGCAGTTCATGCTCGAAAGCCCTCCAATGTGGCTGAATTAAGGCAATTCTGCAAAGAACAGTAGACCAAAATTTCACTGATGTGAAAAACTGGGGGCAATTACTTTTTCACATTTGTGATATAGGTGTTGCAATTGTTTTCCTTTGATAAATGAAATATCATTTAATAATATTGTTTTGTGTTTCCTCATGTTCTATTTTGTCTTGCATGACATTCAATATGAGGATCTGAAACCATTTAGTGCGACAAATATGCAAAAATAGAGGAAATTAGGAATGTTTTTTTCACGGTACTGTAATCACTTAACCAAATATACTGTAATCCATGTATTTCAACATGGCAGACGCACATACAGACCCCAGGTGTCTCTGGGGTAAATGAGTGTTTATGATTCCTTTGTTAACTAATGCTCTGGTTAATACTGTTCACCCAAACAGGCTCAACATCATCCTTGTTTGCGTCAGCAGAAGAAAACATGTTTTATGCTTCGCCACCAGCAACGTCACTCAGTACAGAGGGCATTTCCCCTTCAGAGTCCTGCATCTATACACAGATTTGGCTCAGTCTCTGCTGTACTCTGTCGCCATGAGACAGAGAAAAACGCTGCTGTGTGCAATGTGTGTCTCAGATGGGTGGATGAGCAAGAATCTTGCAAAATGTATGAAGCATGACTGAGGGGTAGTAAATCAAAGCGAAGAAAGCTGAATTATTAGCACCCACTTTGACTACAATGATGTTTGTTGCCTTGCTTTTAGGCTGCTCCTCGTCTCTGTCTGGCTCAAATATAGCAGTGTAGTTCTGAATGAGCTTGGCCATGATCTTATTACAGACGTTCTGCTCCTGCATGCCATCAAAACCTGGGGACACACTGAGAAAGAAATAGAAACAAGTCATCAGTGAACTGCTACATTCTGTGCAAAGCACCAAACTGTGCCTTTTCAAAAAAAAGGCAAGAAAATTTTGTTTTACTGTTTATGGCTGGATGGTGGACGGGGTTTAGTTAAAAGAGAATCAAACTAGAGATGAAACTACCACTCCATATGGTTAAAATTTCTGTTCTGTTGACATGGAGTAACACATCCTCCAATTTTAAATATCACTTTTAGTCTTTTTTAATGCTTTAGATGAGGATAACAATGTTGGAATACTGTCCCCTGCAGCACTGGAGTTGCATAGCAGAACACTGTCTTCAAAAGATACAAATACAATGCTGAATATTTATTATGCAACAGTAAAATTAGATAATTAATTCTGATTCTAATTAATTTGCAAGGATATTTGTCTACACCTAAAACACGTAATACAAATTACAAGTTTAGACTCTAGAAAGGCTGCTCTAGAAAGGCTGACTTTTGCACAGTACTATTCACTGCATTGTGTGATGACACAACACTCAGAAAAGGCCTGTCTATAGTGCTTTAAGTTGATTTACTCCACGATCAATGCAGTTCATGCCCATAGCAGCTTCCAGTGAAGGTTGTTTTTAGGAGAGTGATGGGAAAAGCACCTGTAATTACTAAAATTAGTGGTCTCAGTACTTTTGCAGTACTTTTGGCTAGCGAAATGTGAAATGGATAATTTTCTGGGAAGATGACAAAGCTGCACTCATTTCAGAGCTACATCTAAACTGAGGGAGTTGAAAGCAAAAAAAAGTATGTCAAAAAAATAACAATACCTGGAACCAACAAGCTGCCGTAAAATAAGATCATTGTGCACATTTGTGAAAATAATGAAGTCCAAACAAAAAGTGCAATCCTGTCTCACCACTTCAACAACATACACCTGAATGACAAAATGAATGACGAACTAAATGTGAACAGTCATTTGACTGATGCAGACTTACTGGTAAAAGCCAAGATGCCAGCAAGCAGCAAGGCAAAATGACATGAGCAAATATAGCTAAATTCAATAACAGTGTTGCGGCTTTTACTATTTGAGGTTGCGCCGACTGCTAGGCATATGCAAAGTAATGTGCAAAGCACTGTGGCCCCCTGACTGCTAATGAGTTTGAAAATAATGTTGTAGAAGTTTCGCAAATGCTGGACAGCTGTGTGTGTTTATTTGTATGTGAGACCTAATCTGTGTGTGAGGCCTAATTATACCTAAACTACTGGACAACATAAGGCAAAACAACATGTTGGTTCACTGGGCCTCCTTAGGGCCACATACTAGTTAGAGTTCAAAATATATGTGAGCTTGAAAATAACATGTGAGTAATTTAAAGTCATGACCTTAGACGTGCAAATGATGTTTGTGACTGAGAACAGGCTGCAGGTCAAGGACCAGTACATTGTACATCAAAAGGTGACTGAAAATGTGCCAATTCTTTTGTGAAATTTGTGATAAACTGTACAGAGAGACATTTAAGTAATTAAACATGGAATGTGTTATCATGAATACCATCAAGGCTGTGACCTGCAGTAGAACAACACCATTGTGATGTTATTCACAATAGCACACAACTTTGAGTGGTCTATTGCTTTTATAAAACAGTTTAGCAAAAGCAAAGTCACCCCAAACATTATTTCAAATGCAGTACTGTGCAATTGTCAGACCACCCTTTCATTTATTTTCAGTCAAAACGGCCATTAAGTAGAAGTCATTCATTTTTCAGCGTCAGGAAATGAGGAGGAAACATACATTTAATAGAAAATTACATAGAAGCCTCAACAACTAAATATGACATCAGTTTTTTTCAGGATTTAGTCTGTCTGCCCCTTGTCTTTATTATATCTTCCATTCTTTTCAAAGTGTCAGTAGAGGGCACAAAAGTAAAGGGTGAGTGCTAGATTTTCTATTACATTTTTGTGTTTTCAGTGGTTTTGACACTGAAAAAGGAATAATTTGTATGTAATGGCTGTTTTGACTGGAAATTAAATAATATTTGAACTCTACTAACAAGAGACTCCTAGTGACATAAGTGGTCCTTTCAGCACTATAGAGAATATAAAAGTCACCGAGAGAACTTAAAGATACATAAACACACATTGTTTACGGCTTTAGACTGAGTGCAATGGGGACATAATATCCAACGTTCAAAGGACCAGATGAACAAAACAGGAACACACACACACACAGAATAAAACCATAAAACCTCTATTTGCTGATTACCTTCATCAGGATGCGCTACTGAAATATACTTAAAATGACTGCAAATAAGCCAAATACTTTTACCCGAATGACCTCAGACTCTCTGTTATGGATGGATGTGCATTCATATGTGCTGCCCAAATATGGTGTGAAACTTTTAAAAGGCAGTTTAGGCAGCTGAACATTAGTCATCTTCTGCAGAATGCTTAAATCTGCCAACCAAAAGTAGCATTACTCATCAATACTAGATCTAGACCTTGACTAGTTTACAATTTCTCACAGTTTGTCCTCCTAGTGTGGAGTTCCTCAGCCGTGTTACACTCACTGGAAAACATTCGGCCCAAACACGGTTGCCAGGTTGAGTGCAGTCATGCGGTTGAGGTGCTGCTGCTGTTCCACCTGGGTAAGGAAATAGCACAGGTAGCGCAGGACGCTGTAGTGAACGTCTGGCAACCGCAGCAGGAGCTCACGCACATCCTTACAGAAACCATCCTCACTGGATTCTGTTTAAAAAAAAACAAAGAATGACAAAAGATAATAAACAGGCTGTCTACTTTGCCGAATCCAAAAATATTACATTTGTCTAAGTTTGGACAGATGAATTGCCATGTTAGGACCGCCCACAACCCTCTCCACTAAACAGACTCAAAAATGCAGCTAAAGGGTGCATTTTTTTCTCACATAAAAGGGGCCAACAAGTCAGAGAAAGCTCCAAAACAGGAAACAGCCAGCATAGTCAGCATGAGTTTGCTAACAGGGTCAAAAGGTGGACCAGGAAATCAGGAAGGAGAGTTATTGAGGAAAGAGGTTGGGTGGGTGGCTTTAACAGCTGCAGCAGCTTGTGTATGTATATGTATTCTGCAGAATTGATGGGGAGAGCTGCAAGGTAAGACACACTTGAGTCATTGTAACAGTGACAGCCCCAGTCGGCTATTACAGTGGGCAATGTACAATTAGAATAGAGGCGCTGATGTACCACAAGACAAACTACTAGCATTCTGATTTTATACTCAACCTAGGGGTGTGAGGCTGACTTTACATGGTAAAAGTTTCATGCAACTTAAAGCATCCTGCAACTCATTTAAAACTCAGCCACAGCAGTTGTAATTGTCTCAACTTAATGAAGCAAGTTTCATGGAAAGTCAGCCAAAACAGCTGTAATACATTATTTGAGCATCACAGCAAATGACATACTTTCAACTCACTGAATTCACCGGATCAGTGGACAAACAGCGAAAATAATAGTGTATCAAAAAATATGAGCTGCTAATTTGGATATCTAGAAGCATAACTGAATGTGTTGTGTGCAACTTTGTTTTTCAATTACTTTGTGTATCTGTGAAGTTGCATAGAATTTACGTTGCAGGCAACTCATAACATGCAACTAGTTGCATACAGGTTCACTGTGTAAAGCCAGCCTTACAATGTATTGTGGCATTGTGATATTGCAAGGCAAAGCTGTGACAACGAGCATCGTGAAGATGAGACGATGCATCGTCGAGAAAAGACATTCTATGAATTAGGCCGTCTAACGCAAATGCGTTGTTTGAACAACAAGGTCCGCAAAAAATCACCATCAATCAACAACAATCACTCCAGCACTCCTCCTGCCTCGCAGCTCTAGTGTTGCTAATAAGTTGTGCAACAACCTTATTATGTTTATCATTTTTCTTTACTCGAATTTTGTTAGTGAGACCACTGAACTGTGAACCCACTATTGTAAATCGAATAGAATTGTGGGCTGAGAGCATTATTACACCAATGATTGCAATTACGATATGCTTTATAATTCTTTAGTAATGCACTCATGAATCAATAATGTGATATGGTTAAAGAATGGTGTGCATTTTGACCAAATTAATTTACTTTTAATTTACTTTACTCTTCAATAGCGGTACTGCAAATGCCAACATTGTGATGGGTATTAACAAACAATGTATTATGCAACCCTATGTAGCATACATAAATTCTACAGTATTCTTTTAAGAAATCCTGTTCTGAAACACTTAAGTAGACTACAATAAAGTAAGTAAGACTATAAAAGACTAAGGTGACTATTTCTCACTATGCAATACTGCAAGAGAGCAATACTCAGTTTTTTAATGATTAGAAGGTCTAATCCAATTTCATGTCCTCATTTGGAGGAAATTCCAAGATTCAGTCATGTGAGGGATGGTAACATGTAGAGTGAGTGGTAAAAGGTGATCCACCGCAGTGAAATACTACCTGCAAACACAAATTTTGACACCTAATACAAACATGTCTTTTATGCTTGTTTCCTGACACCTAAGGTGCACCATCTGTGCAGGATATTTAGTATGCCCCAGAGAGAGAGAGACAAGAGAGGGAGGAGAGAGAGAGGAATGAGAGAAACAGAGTAAGAGAAGCAAGAGAGAGAGAGAGAAATAGACAAAGTGATGGGTACACAGATAGAGACAGAGAGAAAGTGAAAGAAAGAGATGAAGCAAAACAGATAAGAGCAAAGAGAGTGGAACAAGAGAGAGGAGAGAGAGAGGAACAAGAGAAACAGAGTAAGAGAAGCAAGAGAGAGAGAGAGAGAGAGATAGACAATACAGAGAGAGAAAGTGAAAGAAAGCGAGAGAGCAAAGAGAATGTGAATGGAGCAAGAGAGAGAGAAGCGAAAGGGAAAGACAGAGGAGGGAGAGATAAAGAGAGGAGCAAAAGAAAAAGAAAAAGAGAGAGAGAGAGAAGGACAAAGAGAGAGGAGCAAGAGAGAGTGAGGAGTGAAAGAGAAAGACAAAGAGGAGTGAGAGAGACAGAGGAGCATGAGAGAGAGAGAGAGAAAGAAGCGAGTGAAAGACAGTGAGACAGACTGGTTGTTGGAGAAGAGGGAGAAAGAGAGAGGAGAAGACAGACTGGCACAGACAGACTTGAAAAAGAGAGAAAAAATGAGACAGAGAGAGAGAGAGAGAGAGAGAGAGAGAGAGAGAGAGAGAGAGAGAGAGAGAGGGTGACGTGACGTGAGAAAGATAGACAGAGTGAGAGGGAGTATTGCCTGAGGCATATTCAGGTTACCAACCCTGTGAAGAAAATACTTTTGTCTCAACTTCGCTTGGAGACAAGCTGTGATGCGCTCCACAGATGAAGAAAGTAATGACTTTGGGATGCCTTTTTCAAACTCCTCATAAATCCCCCCAGACCCCACGCTCTACTTTCCCCACATACTCCATCTGACATGGAAAGGCCATTGCTGCACTTAAGCCTCAGTGCTGATCTCTGTTGTGGGCTCGGAAAGGTTCTGCTACAGCCGTGTCCTGTAATGCATCCACTGGCTCCAGGCCTAGACAAACAGGCCCGTTTATTACAACTTCATCTAATCTTTTACACCCACAGGCTACTCACTCAGCAACACAAATCTGCTCTAATGCCTCTCAGCTGGCACAAATAGACTCAGCGGGCGAACTGTCCTCCGATGGCCATTTTCTGCAGTTTGGGTCACTAACTGAGCATCATAGGGAGGCAAACATACGCTGATGCTTCAAGAGACGGGCCCTCCTGCTAAGCCTCTGATGGCAGAACCCGTGTGTTTAGACAGTGACTCAAGGGGGGCTAAAAATAAACGCAGTAAAACAAAGCACAACCCTGACCCGAATCACAGCAGTAGCTCTAAAGAGCAGTTGGAGGTTTTGGATGGTACAACAATTCAGACTTCTGACCTACTTTGTTTTTCAGTGAGTAATTACGAGTGAAACAACTGTCAAACTCAATAAACCAGCCATGTGAGCAAAAATGTGAGTTAAAAAACTAATCAGTGAGAATATGAAATATATTTAGGAATAATAATAATAATACTATGATGTCTATCATTGCACAGGCACAATGATAAAGCTTTATGTCCTATTTGTTGTGATAATAATTATAGTTTTTTACTTTATGTTATTCTTATCTGTATTTATTTTACTGTAATTACATTACAAATACATATATTTTTTATGTTTGTGCCAGAAAAAATATATATTGGAAAAATCTTTAAAAATATATTGTGGAATTTAAAAAAATAAAAAATAAAACAGAAGGTATACAAAATCGGCCTGCACACTGATAGACATCATAACACTGGATAAAATAATATTGTCCCTTTGGATAACCCCTTACATGCAATCTACAAGCTTGTTTTAATGTAGGACTAAACCAAAACTTGATTTAACAGGGTGAAGGGGGTGAATATAGCTTTCTCCCAGCACGCAGTAAACTGTGTTTCCAGAAAGTGTGAGGTAGGTACCACATCACACATAATCCTTTACTGTGAGAATAAACCAAACTTTGAATTTCTGTGGTCTTTCTCTCCCAAAACACACAATAGAAACATCACAAATAGAAAGTCACCATAGCAACAGCTGCTGGTCTCTGCTTTTGAGCTGGCAGTGTTTCTGACTGGCTCACCATGATGGAGCTGTATGAGTGTGGAGTGGATGGAGGAGTGAACAAGGCCTTCAGGCAGCTCCCTCAGGTACTGTTTCAGCAGGCTCGCCACAGTGCAGACCTCAGCCTCCTGCTGAAGGTCCAAATCTTCCCCACTGTCCAGCTTCTGCTTCAGACTGTCCACTGCACGAACACTGCCACTCACACGGAACAGGCCTTCCTGCTCCATCCCTAAGAGACGCAAAGGCAAACATAGAGAACATAACATGACTCTGCGTCATTCTCACTAGCGTCTGTGTGGTGTTCAGAGAGTTAAACGTGAAATGTGATGACCCGAGTGTACTGAACCTCTTGTGCTTTATTAATGTCTCTGTTTGCAATATTCCATGACATTAAAAGATGTAGAACATACGTCTGTTCCTAACATGTTTGGTATGCTTGTATTTGGCCTCTTCACAATGTCATTCTATGTACCTAGTAGTGGAGCACAGCGCACCACCTAACACAGGGTAAGAAGTAACAGATTTTTTTTATGCGGTTAAACAAATTCAAGTAGAATGTGGCTTTCTCTGGTTTTCTCATTGTCATCTCGTATTCCCATAGCAATGTTATCTGTGAATTTTCTCAGCAACAGGACAGATATTTCTCAAGATTCACCCTGAAAAGCGGTTTCGTACCATTAATGTAATTTTTTTTACTGGTGTGACAGAATTCACATGCAGTTGTATGCAAAATGTTTGATGTTTTGTTGATTTTCTAATTGAACATATCATCTATAGCAAACAAGCAAAATTTTGTTTTATTTATTTGCTAAATTTAACATATTAGAACAGCATTTTAAAATGTGCTATAACCTTTGTACAAGCCACATTTTATGTTTTTCCCCAAATATATTAAATTCAGCAAATAAACTTCAAATGTGCATTAAATTGTGCAGACGTGTGTTCTCTGTAGGGGATGCATAACTTATTTTTCACTTAGAAAATCAACAAAACATGTCATTTGACCACGGCTGCCCAAACGTTTGCATATGACTGTATACAGTACAATTTTGAAGCTTATAATCAACTCACAGTGAGAGCCAGCCAGGCCAACGCACAGCCACTACATGACAGGGCTTTGTTTTGACCTCCCAGGTTAAGCAATGAGAGAATTCCATCCCCCCCTTCATGAGTAAAGATTTAAAAGAAAACTTTTTATTTACAGATACACCAAAAACTTGCTATATATCGCTGTTGTTGGAAGAAAACCTTGTATCTCCAAAATGGTAACTTTACAGGAGAAGGAAAAAAACCTACTTTACTTTTAATGTAAGTCAATCGAACCAGACTTGATGTCAAAAACTGAAAAACAATGGAGATACGAGGTTTTCTTCTGCAGTGGTATGTTACGTAAACAAGTTTTTCACTTTCATTTGAAGCAAAGTGGTTAAGATTGCTTACATAAAATTTACATTATCAATTCTGCTCAAATATTTTTTTAAAATTTTAGCAAAAAATGTTTTAGGTTGTACCCTGCTTTTCCTTAAATCACTTTAGGCATGTTCCGTTGTAAAAAAAAAACATTCACAGCACGTACTATGCTGTAATGTTCCAGAAGCCGCAGGGTACCACTGGTGGAGTCTTTCAGACATAACACTGTACTGCCATCCAGTGGAGAACACTGAGAACTGCTGCCTATGAAAAAACGCTGGTAATCTTTAGTTTCAAAAGATTCTGATTTAAACCCCTGCAAAATTGCTCACCTGAGAGAAATATCTCAGTGACATATACAAACTAAACTTTGTATATTTAATTTGACTATTAATGGGCTCTTTCTTTCAAGTAGGTGTTAGTGGAAAGGTGAACAAGACACGAACACTGCATCCCATACAAGTCAAGTCAAGAGTTAACTGTAGGCTATATTTGGAAAGCAACTATAGCACCTCTTCAACAACAATCTTAGCTTCTTCAGAACAATTGTTGAGTTTTTATTTTCTTATTGTTTGAACTGTGTCCATGTTTATCCCCTCATTCAGAACTAATAGCATACTGCACTGCCAATCATGTTAATTTGCACTTGGTCTTTATGGCATTTGTTTGAGTTCGCTCTCAGCATTTTAAGCTCAACATTATTTGCCCTCAGATATAACTGGTTGGTAGGCAACAACAGCACAACTCGACCTATCTGCCAGTTCATATATTGACACTGACCATTTTGGTCAAAGTGCAATTTGTGAAAACTGTATTGTTCTACACTTAAAAAGGTGTTGCTTTGAATTTACTTGATTCAATTATATATGCTGGTTCCACGTGAATTAAATATATCAACACAATAACTGTCATTCATTCTTACTTTTAATCAGAACGGTGTTGATTTAATGTATTTTATTCATGTAGAACAGATGTGCAGATGTGAAGCTAGTAAATTCAAAGCAACAGGTTTTTTTCAGTGTGGAAAATAAAAAAAAGGTCTGTATTAGGTACTAAATGAAGAAGATTGTAGAATCTTGGTAATGTGGCAACTCTCATACCAACTCATGTTGGCAGTAAACACCCCAAAAACAGGGTCGCCAAGTTTGGATAACTATTGCAACACAGTGAACCACTGATCCATTTCCTAACACTGACAAACATTTGGTGTGTTCAAGCTGGCCGGGCTTGACATTTACTCCGTGGTCAGTGCACCAAATAAGTCATTACACAAATACACAAACTGTTCTGCTGAATTTTTATAAATCTCTCACCAAGTCTGACTGGCCAGGACAATTTAGAAACAACGACTAGAGCCCCAGCGATACAAAATACATGACAGTTAGTAAATTGACTTATGAGGATTATTTCACAAAACATGATGATTACACACATGTGAAAAATCCCCCAGATGGCACCTTTAAGCTGCTGGTACCCTGTTAACACTTGTAAATGTTTGTATGTGAGCCCACATTTCAGATCTCTTACATAGTTTCATTGTACTTACTGCACAATAAATCTAAAATGAATAACTGAAAAATAACCCTAAGGTTCCCTCACATTATGACATAAGTTAGCACAGAATATGGACACATTAGATATGAATTATATATTAAAATAATGGGATGTTTGCTCACCTTAGCAACAGCACACGCCACCTGCTAGACATGACTACTAATCTGCAATGCACACAGTGACCAACCATGCCGGCTGTGATAAGAGTATCAGATGACTGGGTTTGTCAATAATGCACCACTGAAAAAATGACTCAGACAAGTTACTGTCAAGTCTTCTTCGTTGACCTTAGGTCAAGTTTCCTGCCCTTTGTTTTGACTCTACACTGGCCACTTTATTAGAAACCCTCATAGGTCCACAGTTAGCGACCGTACCGCACTGCTGTTATATCAAGAATGGTCCTGCGGTCAGATACTGATGAAGGGAATAGAGGATGGCTAATACAAATGACAACAAATGAGCTTTGGTCTGTCCCTTTACTCACCATGCCGTCTCAAGTACTCCACCATGCTCCTGACCACCAAGGGCACTCCATCTTTCAACAGGCCCAGCTCTCTCATATCCAGCAAGGAGATACCAAACACTTTCTGGCCTCCTGTGGCAGCAGTGGAGGCCGGCCAGGGCTTCAGCATGGGCAGCTGGACCATCTTCTTCATGTCCTCCCGGATCTGCACCGCTGCCTTGTTGTGCTTGGAGAAACATAAGAGAGGAGAGCAGTCAACCACAGGCACGGCTCTCCTGGACCTCATTGCTGCTACTCCTTCTGCCCCAGATCTCTCATGAGGCTCCTTAGGGACTTTACAGTGTTCCTAATATGAGACAACAGAATGCTGAGGCATGGATACAAGAGGGACCTAACCTGTCCCTGCTGCTACGTCAGGGCACCGGTTGCTGTGCACCTGTATCTAGGGGAGTAGGCTAAAGCAAGCAGTGGCAATTAGACTACAATGCCCAGAGAAAAGATAGCTGACACAGCTTTTACAGACAGAGTAGGCAGAGCTTAAGGTGGAGAAGCAAAGAGGAAACTATGAGCAACATAAAACATACTGCAGTAGGCATGATATAAAAACACAGATGAGATACACTGAAATATGAAAAAAAGATCAACGTTACAATCACAATTAGTTTTACATTGTTTTCTGGTAATACAGTCCACATCCATAGTAAGTTAATTACACACTACAGGGGTGGAGACACTGGCTTTGTGCATTCCGTCTTTCAAACTTCATTTTTAAACAGGTAACAGTTAAATCTACAATGTTTAATATAATCGTGTAGGTTATCTATTCTAGCTACTTCTTACAGTTTCAGAGAAATTGGGAGCGTGGCAGATATAAGTTCAGCCATAGATATAAATTTGGCGTTAGCAACCTGCGATTAGCCCTGTTAGCGTTAGCTGTATGGTCACCACTCAACAACTAGTTAGTATAAAAAAGTAACAGCTCTAGACATTTTGAGCAAGTTTGGAGAAGATTTAAGCTTTTCGTTTCGTTTGTTTCAGTACTGGTTTAAAAGCCGTTGTAAACTTATAGCTATAATCCAGTTTCCAACCAAAACTAAACAGGCTGGCTAACGCTAGCAACCTAGAACCTTCTCTCCTCAGTCTTTTCGCGCTCTTCTGCGGTCTCCACAGCAACCTCTTGAGTTCGGTTTGGTATTCCCTGAAGATTAACCTACAAATAGTTAACAAACAATCAAATACATCGAAATTACATTGTCTGTAAACGTGGGAATATAGTAGTAATCCGATATAGTACCATCCTCAAGTAAAAGTCTTGTTATTTCAATCAAATAATGGCTCAAAGTAGAAAAGTAGCCGACCAAAAACTTGAATAAAAGGTGTACTTTCCCAAACTCCTCTTGTACTGAGTACAGTAGTACATAGAACAGTAGTCTCACAGGCTGAATCTCAAATGCCTCCTGCTCCCTATATAGTGCATAATTGTGAGTTAAGTTATTTGGCTTGTTCACCTAAATAAGTGCACTATATAGCCAGTACAGAATTTAAAGGAATCCCAAATGGATCTTTGACATATTACAGACAACATTCTGCACTGTTTGAGGTCAGGAGCCTTTGTTTTAAGACCTTACTGTGCGCACTACATAGGGAGTGGGGAGCCATTTGAGATTTTGGTTTTTTGGTCCCATTGAGGTCTATCCTTCAAAAGCAACTTCACTGCTGTACTACAAAACAATTGACAATAGTACATGCATATTATTAATGATTAATAAACAATTAGAAAAAGTATACTTTATACTGATGGTTTAAGGCCAATAATTGATCAATCTTTAACCTTTGTTAAAGTTTTGTTAATGATTTTTAGGTTTTGTGTGTGAAAAATTAAGCCTACAGTTTAAGTCCTGGTTCATTTTCCTGATAATAGGCTACCTTTCAGATGCTTTCTGGTCTCTGAACTTTGCAATGTAGGCCTACAAAGTGCCTACAAGTGCAGGACAGTGTCAAAAACCTAAAGGCTAATTCCAGGTCTGCGGGTTTCTCATGACACTTAATACTCTCAGGTCTGATCAAAGGCTCCTTTGCTGCTCATGTCTTTTCTGCAGTATCAAAGCGTGCTTGTGACATTTAGACACCGCGGTTCCACAAAGAACACGCACCCTTTCCTTACTGAAGGGAGCCTTCAATTAGCAGTCTACGCATCATTAAAGGTGCAGTGTGTAAGATTTAGGGGGATCTATTAGCCGAAATGGAATACAGCATGTAAAACCATGTTTTCATTAGTGTATAATCACACGTAACTACAAATCGTTGTGTTTATGTTAGCTTAGAATGAACCCTTCATATGTACATAATGAGCAGGTTCTCTTCCAACAGAGGCCGCCACCTTGCGCTGCCATGTTCAAGCAGCAGCTTGAATCTGGTGGTGCTATAGCACCGTTTGAAAGACGCTGAAAGAAGAAGAATTAGTGGTTGCTGCAAGTGCTGGCTAACTATTTTGTGTTGTGAGAAGTTTAAGAAGCCAAATTTTTGACAAACGGAGGATCATTCTTATTATTTGGCGCAAGAAAAAGAAATGAGAATGAATCCTCACCATCAAAGAAGCAAAAACATGAAGACGATAAACGAAATCAGGACACAGGGACGACACCTTAGGTTTTACTACACACTTGGGAAGGGAGTGGTATTCAGTTGGTTGCAATCTGCATCCTCACCACTAGATGCCACTAAATCCTACACACCACATCTTTAAGGCCAGAACTACCAGGCTTCTTCTCAGATGCTTTGGGACTATAATTCCACATCAGGGCATTACTGCTATTTCAGTTTGATAAATTCTGCACTTTAAGACAAAAAATTCTGCAATGCCCTCACTGGACAGTTGCTATCTTACTGAAAAAATTTGCTGTTATTATTACTATTGTTTTATATCAGGGCTGCAACTTTGCCACCTTGTTTATCTCTTAGATTTTCATAGTCTTATTCCTATTTACACACTGCTCGCTTTACACTTGTATTTATATAAAACTCCATTTCCAAAAAAGTTGGGGACGCTGTGCAGAATGTAAATAAAAATAGGATGCAATGATACACAAATCATGTAAACCATATTTTAAAGAAAAATACTACAAAGACAACATATCAAATGCTGAAACTGAGAAATTTTATTGTTTTTTAAAAAATATATGCCCATTTTGAATTTAAAGTCAACAACACATTCCAAAAAAGTTGGGACAGCAACATGTTTACCACTGTATTTCATCACCTCTTCTTTTAACAACACTCTGTAAGTGTTTTAGAACTGAGGATACCAATTGCTGTAGTTTAGAAAGTGAAATATTTTCCCATTCGTGCTTGATAAAGGATTTCAGCTGCTCAACATTTTGGGGTCTCCTTTGTCATATTTTTAATTTCCTAATGCCCCAGATGTTTTCAGTGGTGACAGGTCTGGACTGCAGGCAGGCCAGTTTAGCACCTGGACTCTTTTAATACGGAGCAATGCTGTTGTAATACATGCAGAATATGGTTTGACATTGTCTTCCTGAAATATGCAAGACCTTTCCTGAAAAAGACGTCATCTGATTGGCAGCATATGTTGCCAAAACGTGTATATATCGTTCAGCATTAATGGTGCCTTCACAGATGTGCACGTCACCCATGCCATGTGCACTAATGCGGACCTATACCATCATGAATGCTGGCTTTTGAACTGTGCACTAATAACAAGATGGGTGGATTATGGACACAATGTCCATGATTTCCAAAAAGAATTTCAAATGTTGATTTGTCAGACAACAGAATCTTTTCCATTTCACCTTAGTCCATTTTAAATGAGCTCGGGCCCAGAGAAGGTGACAGCATTTCTGGATCCTGTTTATATACGGTTTCCTCTTTGTGTTTTAGAGTATTAACTTGCATTTGTGGATGCAGCGAACTGTGTTTACAGACAGAAGTGTTTCTGAGCCCATGCAGTGATTTCCTCTACAGAATTATATCTGTTTTTATTGCAGTGCCACCTGAGGGCCCGAAGATCATGGCCAGCAAATACTGTTTTTTGGCCTTGTCCTTTGCATACAGAGATTTCTCCAGATTCTCTTAATTTTTAATGTTATTATGTTCTGTAGATGATGAAAAACAAGAAAAAAATGTTTTTCTTGAATTGTAGCACTATTTGATCGACTGTTTGACCTGTTGCTAATTAACCACCAGGTGTTTTTTTAGCATTACAAAAATTTACCAGCCTTTTGTTGTACCCGTCCCAACTTTTTTGGAACATGTTGTTGGCTTCAAATTCAAAATGAGCAAATATTTTTCCAAAAACAATAAAATGTATCTGTTTCAACATTGGATATGTTGTTTTTGTACTACTTTCAATAAAATATAGGGTTTAAGTGATTTGCACATCATTGCATTTTGTTTTATTTACATTTTGCACAGCGTCCCAACTTTTTTGGAAATGGAGTTATATTTATTTACGTATTTTATTTTTATTACCGTTTATTCTGTGCCTTCTTCTTGAAATTTTTTATTGCTACTACCCGAACTGAGACCTGAGTACCTCATTTCTGTTCCCTTTCATGTTCAGCATGTTCTGAAATGACACTAAACGAATCTGAATCTGAATCTGTGATTCAGCGCCAGCACAAAGACGCACGTGTTAATTGAGGGCTTGTTAGCAGCCTCCACTAATTGAGAGGATCGTTAACACATTCTTAGCTGAGCTTCCTGCCCATAAACAGTGAGCATCTCAAATTTCTGTAGGTCACTTTTGATCTCCCTTCTCTTTCAGTCATTCACATGCATGCAAACTCATGCATATGCATTTGCGCATTTGCACACACATGGGCGCTAGCATGAGTTTTGCACAGCCATTTGAAAGTCTGTAGATAGGATAGTACTTTGACGTACAGCGAAAAGTGCCTCTCACCAGTTACAGGAATGGAGGATTTGTAGTTAGCTGATGTAAGGACAGGCGTTGTGAGAGAGAAAAAATGCAGCGGGCTGGCCGGTAGCCTAGCATTAGGAGAGACGAGCCTTCAGCCAGAAGTGTGCTGGGTTCAAATCCCACAACTGACTAGGTATACCTGGTTTTGCCCTTGGGCAAGGTACTCAACCCCCCACTGCCCCAGGTGGCACTGCTCTGCTAGCAATGCTGTGCTGCTCCCAGATTGGGCATAGTTAGGCAGCAAAATGATGAATTTCCAATGTAGGATCAATAAAGTACATAACAAA